CCGGAAGTGTTTCGGGATGTACGGGGAAGGAATTGGGTCACTGGAAGGGGTTTCGGGCACCCCCCGCAAGTTATGGGCCTTATGGGCCAAAGGAGGGGACAGACCAGCCCACAAGGGGGCTGGTGCGCCCCTCCCTTGTTTAGCCAACCCTAGGCAAGGAAAAAGGGGCGGGCTAACCCCTCCTGCCTTTCCCTCTCATGGGAGAAAGGAAAGGGGGGCACCCTCCCCTGCCTTTCCCCACACTCCAAATAAGGAAAAGGGGGGCGCATGGACCCCAAGTAGGATTCCTCCTACTTGGGTACCTCCTTGGCTGCTCCTCCCTCCCTCCCACCTATATATATGTGGGAGGGGCGCCTAGCACACACCAGATCAATTGTTAGCCATGTGCGGCGCCCCCCTTCACCGTTTACACCCCCGGTCATATTTTCGTAGTGCTTAAGCAAAGCCCTACGGATATCACTTCACCATCACCGTCACCACACCATTGTGATGACGGAACTCATCTACTACCTCAACGTCTTGCTAGATCAAGAAGGCGAGGGACGTCACCGAGCTGAACATGTGCAGAACGAGGAGGTGTCGTACGTTCGGTACTAGATTGGTTGGATCGCGAAGAAAGTTCGACTACATCAACCACGTTGTGAAACGCTTCCACTTATGGTCTACGAGGGTATGTAGACACACTTTCCCCCTCGTTGCTATGCATCTCCGTGGATAGATCATTGCGTGTGCGTAGAATTTTTTTTGTTTTCCATGCATCGTTTCCCAACAGTGACTGTTATATGATGAATGTCATCCAACACAAATATCCATCATTGATCCAATTCCTACGCTTTTCTCATATTGATCTTTGCTAAGTTACTACTACGGTTACTGTTCCTGGTACTATTGGTACTGTTCTACTAAACACTTTCTAGCACAAATATAATTTCCAGGTGCAGTTGAATTGGAAACTCAACTACTAAGACCCATAAATATTCTTTGGCTCCCCTTGTGTCGAATCAATAAATTCGGGTGAAATACTACTCTCGAAGACTATTGCGATCCCCTATACTTGTGAGTTACCATACAGTAACTTGGATAACATGGTAGATTGCCCAACTATGCGAGATAAATATGAAATTCTACGGGTTCTCAAAGGAATGAAGAAAAATGCTTCTCCAAGACTAGGTGGTCTCATTGTAGCCTTTGATGTTTGGAATTGGATTGGATATGATGTTACAAAGTTGGTACAATATTTTTACATTAAAGGTAAGCTGCACCCTCGATAAAACAAAACATATATTACTTTAATTCCTAAGAATCATAATGCTAAGAACCCTCAAGACTTTAGACCGACTAGCCTTTGTAATGCAGTTTATAAAATCATCACAAAAACATTGGCTAATAGGCTTAAAGATCTTTTACCTAATTACATACCCATAGCTTTCATTCAAGGAAGAATTGCAAATAATATTATTGTTGCTCAAGAGATTACCCACTCTTTTTAGCTTAATTCTTGGAAACATGAAGCTTATTTCTTGCTTAAGAATAGATCTAGCCAAAGCTTTTGATATGATAGAATGGGATATCACCGAGAGCTTTGCTTCAGAAAGGGCAACATGGTCATTTTGTAGATATAATTTATGAATGCATATCTATTGCCACCTTTTTTGTTAACATTAATGGACAACCTTTTGGCGGCCTTAAAGGATCCCAAGGTAGCCGACAAGGTTGTCCTCCGTTTCCATATCTTTTTATTCTTGTTGTGAACGAATTGTCGTTTCTATGCAAGATGCTTTAAATACAAATCGTTTGAGCAGCATCCAGCTAGCAGCCTCCTGTTCCCATATCCATTCTCTAATGGTTGTTGATGACTTATTTTTGTGTGATAGGGAATATAATAATGAAGATGCTAATATCATTGCTCGCATTATTAGTCAATTTTGTGCAGCCTCTGGTGAGACTCCCAATTGGAATAAATTTGCCATCTTGTTTAGCAAACATACGAATAGTGCTCTCAGAAACTCCATCATGAATATTTTTCCTGCCCCGGATATGGATTTTAATACCACTCATCTTGGTCATCCTCTCATTCTTCCACCCAAGAAAAGAGCTGCTGCCTACAATTTTATTATAGAAAATTTTAAGGCTAAACTTAGTTGCTACAACGTAAATAGGCTTTCACATGCTGGTAGACTTACTCTCATTAAATTTGTGTTTGACTCTTTGCCTATTTATTACATGTCCAACATAGTCTTGAGCAAAACTACCATTAAGAAACTTACTTCTATTTTTAGGAAATTATGGTGGACTCGGATTAACATGGGATAATGAAACTTATTTTTTTTAGAGCTTGGGAAGACATTTGTAAGCTAATGCCTAAAGGAGGACTAGGCATAAATGATTTATTCTTGTGAACAAATCTATGATGGCTTGGAGAATTATTAAGAATCCTACTTCTTTACTTACCAGAATTCTTAGAGCTAAATATTTTCATAGTTCTTCTATTTGGTAACCTAGCTCTTATGTTCCTAAGTCTGCTTTTTGGAGCTTAGTTATAATTTCTTTCCATTCATGCTTAAGTCTAGCCAGCTTCAAATTGCAAAAGGTAATTCTTCCATTTGGACTAGTCCTTGGTCCAAAGATTGGGAGAATATATAGGATTATCCTAAGCCTAGCTTGCAAGGACCCTATCCTAGTATCATTAGTGATCTTTGGAAGCCCAACTCTAAACTTTGGATGAGGACAAAATTAGTGCTTTTTCGATGATTCTTTTAAAAATGATGTCTTGAATATTCCATTCATTGATGCTAATCTTGAAGATGCCATTTGCCGAACTCACACACCTAATGCTACACCTAATGAAAAGTGTACCACAAAAAGTTCTTAGAAAACTTTTGTGCAGGAGATTCAAGATAGCTCTTTGGGAAGACAAGTTCTTACTTCGGATCGAGAGATTGGTCTCCTTAAACAGGCTTGGGAAAGTAAAACCATGGCACCTAGGGTAGAAACATTTGCTTGGAGACTTATTAGGAGAGCTATTGCAACAAGTTTAAGAGGCCTTGGGTACTCTGATCACATCAAAAAAGAATGTCACGGGTGTGATCAAGTTGAATCAGATTTGCATATTTTCTTTCAATGCAATATCTCTGGATCAAATTGGTTTAAGTTTGGCCTGAAAACTGATATGGCGAATTCTGTTTATATTCTGCTGATGTCATTCTAATGATCTTGTCTCCAACAATTAGAATTAGATCTAGAATTTGTTTTCAATATACTTTGGAACATATGGAAAGCTAGAAATTATCTCCTTTTCAATGAAAGAAATTGGAGTGCTATGCAGGTTATCTATGCTACAAAGGCAATGCTTAATGCAGGTTTAATGGAGGAGAAAGAGGAAAAGGAAATAACCCTTGAAGATAGCAATGATAATCCTCTTCCAATTACGAATGAGAATATTCAACCTGCAGGTACACTGGCATATGTGGATGATTCTTTTAACCCTTTGGCGGCAGAGGATGAAGCCTAATTTGGAGTATATCTCAACAATACTATCACGAAGCACACCATATTTATTCAAGTATCGGCTACGAATGTTCATCCGGTTTTGCAGGCTGAAGCAATGGCTTTACTTCTTGCAGCCTTAGACAATCAAGGCTTTGGGTTGGAATTCTGCCTCTTTTCTATTCCGATTGCAGGACTTTGGTCGAAGGTGCGGTTCAGGACAATGGAGGATCAGGCCGATGCTTGCTGATCTCTTCAATGCCACTTCAAGTCTTAGCTCCTTCAATGTGATACACATCTCTAGATCCCGGAATCCCCTTGCGCATGCACTTGCTAAGAAAGCTTTCTCAAACAGATCTTATCCTACTTGCTCTTTCCTACTTGATCTAACTTCAGAGTTCAAAATGGCCTTTGAAGCCATATATTTTCCCTTGGGGAAAAATTCTATATGTACAATGCTTAGGTTGTTAATGAATAAAGTTAGCTCTCTTTAAGGGGTACAATTTGCCAAAAGAAAAAGCTCTTGGACACGTATGAACCGAGCATCCGGTCAGGCGTCAGCCATTCAACTGCCCCTCATAATTTTCCTGATTTGTCTGGGCTCCTCTCTTTGTCAAAAAAATAATTCTAGATCAATAGCAAATCTTCTTCTTCACCCTCTCCTTCACACACCGGGTTTACTGTTTGACAGTCCGCGGTGACGGGGCGAACACGCCAGGTTCGGCGAGACGACAAACCTTGTGATGGGCTCCAACGGTTTCATCGCAGTGGCGACATGCGCGGGAATGCGATGTTCCGGACGAATAGGGTCGTAGAAGTAGACGAGCGTCAGCTAGATTTTGGACGGGCCTAGAGATTTTGGATGGGTCTGAAATGTCGGGCACCAACATAATGGATGTCCGGGCTCCCTCAGAGATCACTTCATAATGGATGTCCGGGCTCACTCAGAGCTCACTGATCCTGGTTTGGGATCGGTCTGCGGGGCTGTGAAGTTTCATCGATCCAACCCAAAATAAAGGTGTTATTGTTTTTTTTTTATAGAATAAAGGTGCCATTTGATGAGCGCGTTTGAGATGTCCTAGCCAGGCCACGGCGCGCGCACGCCCCGCACGCCCAAGCAACCCTTTTCACCCCGTGGAGTGGACCATCGCTCGGGGGCGTAGCGTATCCCGCGTGCAGTGCACAGCCGGGTTGCTTGGTTGTCTGCTGCTGTGCTGTGCCTGTGCTGCGGCTGAACTGGAGCGGTGGCTCCCCATGCTGCTGCTACGCGACACACGACCCGAGCCCGACCCGGCCCACTCCCTGCTTCCGCTCCTCCAGTCCTATTTGCCTCGAGCGTGTTCCACCATTGCGCAGCACCCACCCCCCTCTCCCCCCATTAAAACCCCGCCCCGTCCGGCAGGCCAGGGCACGCATATACACACACGCGCCTGCCTGCGCTCTGACGCCACCCCACACACACCACACCGGGGAACCAAGGAAGAAGCAAGGAAGGAACCTGCTCCGCTCCATCCATGGCGTCCCACGCGGCGCGCCTCCTCCTGCTCCTCGCGCTGGCCGCCGCGCTCGCCGGCCGCTCCGGTACGCCCTCACTCCCAACCACATTTCGTCATCTCATCTTCTTCTTCCTTTTTCACCCAATAGCTGGCTGGTTCTGGTTCGGTTCTTGGAAATCTGTTTTATTGTTGGCTTACTGCTGTTCTTGATGCATGGCCGTGGGACGATGGGCATCAGATGGGGCGTGGTGCGTGTGCCGCACGGACCTGCCGGACGCGACGCTGCAGAGGACGCTGGACTACGCGTGCGGCAGCGCCGCCGACTGCAAGCCCATCCAGCCCAACGCCACCTGCTTCGCGCCGGACACCGTCAAGGCGCACTGCTCCTACGCCGTCAACAGCTACTACCAGCGCAGCGGCCAGAACCCGCTCGCCTGCGTCTTCTCCAACACCGCCGTGATCTCCTCCACCGACCCAAGTACCCACCTACTCTACTCATCGTTTCCTCCGTCCTTTCCTCCCCTAATCCCTACAGCCCCAATCGCACAGTTCAAGATTTCTGACGATGCTCCGTTTTCTTGCAGGCACCAACGGCTGCAAGTACCCTGCAAGTGCGACCCCAAGGTAATGCACCTCGTTGCTGATCTGGTACAACTATTTTGCAGAGTTCATCGTCCTCTCTTTTTTCCTTGAGAGAATAGACAAGGACATCTAAGAAGTAGTAAGATGTAGGAGGATTGTTGAACATTATTTCAGTCTTCTTTCAGTTTCATTGCTACCCCCAGAAAACCCTTTACAGCCAACAGCATTTCGCCCATTTACTAGCTACCAAACGGATTGCAATCCTGAATATTTATTGAGTACAAAATGCGATGTCACATGCACATCTGTTTTATTACTTACAACTCTGGTCCAGTAGTACACCATCATTCACTAGCATGCTTTTGGCCGTCTTCACAAGACGCCATTGCAGCCCAGCTATGGGTGTCATTGCCTTGCCACATTAGGTCATTGACCAGCAATAATCACACGATATATTTGGTGGCTGCTGCCATGTGATAGCATCCGCTGTGGGGCGGTGTGTCCGTTACTTGGCCGGGGAAACCTCATGCGCGTGGGCTTCCCCTCTTTTCCCACATTTGGCTGCACCATCGGTGCACAACTGGTGTCATCCTGGACCCTTTTGAGGGGAATCCTATACGCTCCTTTTGAAACTACTCCTCGCGAATTAGCAGGCCATTAGGTGTGAAGCGAGTTCCAGCCGTTTCGATTAGTCTGTTCTGGTCCCTTTTACAGCAGTAACTAACTCCTTGTAAATGTTTTGTTTGTTCAGTGCTCCTGGCAGCCCGCCGCCGCCAATGGCGCAAGGTCCGAACGGCGACCTGAAGGACACCAGCGGCGGCGCCGAAGTCTTCCCGGTGGCCGGAGCCGCGACGCGGGCGGTGATCCTGGCCTGCTGCTCGCTCCTTGCTCTCTACTTCATGGCGTGACCAGAGGAGACACAAGGCACCCCTCCTGCACCGACCCTTGGTTTTGGGTGTCTTGTTTCTTGGCACATTTTCTCTTAGTAGTGGTGGTAGGAAGAGAACCTTTGTGATGATGATGGTATTCCGTTCTGGTGGAAGAGTGAAGATAGCTTGTCAGTGAGACCATGATATTGTTCGGTGGAGGGTTTAGGGCTGATGTAGTGATGCTGTTATGACCTGATGCTGTGTCTTGGAGGATACTACTGTCATGACTTGATTCTACCATGTTTGGTTGTCTTTGCTTGTCTGGTTTCTTGGTGCAGATCAGGGAAATTGGCAGATCGGTGGAGTGCAGCTTGCTGTACGAAAAACCGGTAACGTTGAAACAGTGATGACTGTTCTATGTCTTCCCTTCGTCAAAGGCTCAAAGCGATGCCTCGTCCCTTGTCAAAATTTAGTAGGTACGTCGTGTCATCATGGAACAACCAGCGAGCCTAAGACCGGAGATTGTGAAACAATTCATAAATTGTTCTGGCATTTTTCGTTTTAGATACTGAAATGCAGCAGATGCTCAGAATGTTGTGGTACATGTCCCTCGGGATTCTCTAAAAAAGTCATCTGATAATAAGAAAACTAGTCTCTTTCAAGAAGATAATAAGAAAACCAGTTACCCAAATGCCAAATTCAGCCCAACTCCCTGACGAAAAAAACTCGTGGGCCACGAATCTATTTCCAGTCCTTTGGGTCATCTCAGCATGAAGGAATCTTCCAAAGAAAACAAGCTACGCACGCATTATGTCTCAAAAAGAAAAGCTACACACGCATTTGTCGAAAGGTTCATCACCGAGCTGTAGATCGTCCAGGAGAGGAAGCTGAACTGCAACACGGTCACTGCAGCAGATATCCCTCATGCTGCACCGAATATCAGACGTAAGGCTCCCCTTGCAGGTTTCGCCAAGATCCACGTCGACGCAGGAGTGGCTAGGCAAAATAGGGGAGCTTCGGCAGCTCCATTTGTCGAGATGAAACTGGCAATTACCTTGGTAGTTCTTCTCTGGTAATTGTTAGTGTACATGACGCCGCTACCTTGGAAGCAATCATATGTCGAGAGGCGTTATCTCTAGCAGAAGACCTCCTTATCTAGAACTTCATCATAGCTTCTGATTCGAAACAGGCGGTGAGCGACATCAACAAAGGTAACGGCGATATGGATTTATTATTAATGAAATCAAGCTGCGAGCTGCTAGCTTCAACTGTAAATTTACTTTCGAAGGTCCTTTTGCGAGCGGTGATGCTCATAGTTCAGCTAAGTTTTCTCTTTAGGGCAAGGGTGCCATTTTTGGCTTGTTCAGCCTCATGATGCAAACTGCATCCCACAGACTGTGGCTTTTGGTACCACTAAGAAAAATCTACATCTATATATAAAAAAATCCAACAAATCTTAGCCAACAAATAGTGTCAATCCAACAACCTATATTGCTTCAATAACGAGCGCTTAACATGTTTAGTGTGCGATTATAATATACCATATATAGGCAATCCATGTAGTTAACGTGTAATTGATATCCTTCCTAATATTAATGTGTAACTAATTTTATTAACATGCAATTAGTTTTTCCCTCATATAACGTGCACTGTGCGCATTTACTTGTGTGGTACCGATGACCAATTTAATCTAGATTGCTTTGAGTTGCCAGCCAGCAAAGTCACTCTCACGCCGTTTCAAACTCGCGTAGCAAGTGACGCACGAGCAGTTTGTATCCCAGCTCTTAACCATGAATTGGAAACGGGATTGGAATCTCTTTGGTGGCGCTTCTTGTTGATTTCCATTTGCTGGATAGGTAGGTTTACACAGGAACACAGCGGCTCGCGCATGCATCTTCCTGTCCGCACATCTGCGCCGCAATTTGGAAATTTGATTCCACCAGAAATTAGCTGAAAAACTGATGAAATTGAGCACTTCACATAACATGAGGTGGTGATCTAACCATGTTTGTCTGTCTTATCTGAATTGAATAGATGTTCTGTTTAGTGCATTCACTTGGGTTTGGTCACTCAAAGTGACACAGTTGTTGCCTAATTCTTGCAAACTAGTTTTGACTCTTAAGTGGCCATGTGTCGATTGACGACTCTTGAGTGGCCATGTGTTGTAGCATGAGGATGATGTGGCATGACTGTAATTTTAACAAACCGTGAATCTTCAAGGAGTCAAGATCACGTGTGCTGGAGATTGAGTTTGTTTGACTCTCCAAGAATCAGGTTGTAGTTTCCTTGTTTTTTGGATGTCTTGTGTCATTCACGTAGTCCTAACGGTGCAGTGGTGCGGCCCGAGGGGAGGCTCATGTGGGACAACCAGCAGTCCACGCTCGGCATGCTCTACTATGGGGAGTACATGAACACAAGACCCGACGCGTCAGTTTCTGTTTCAATTTTGGCCTCCACATTCTTTTCCACAAGATACATTTCTAGGTATGTTTTCTAAATATTGCATGTAGATTTGTAGTATTAACGGATATGTCTTTGAGAAGCGTCACTTCCATAACGGGTATGTTGTGGCATCGGTTATTACCATAATGAGTTGTACTTCTTTTGTCATGGTAATTGACTAATTGTGTGGTGTCTTTAAGAAGCGTCACTTCCATGACATCAGCATCACGCGGATGTGGTTGACAGAATATGTCTTTGAGAAGTGTCTTATCGGTTGCGCGGCGTGGCACCTTCTTGTTCCGCCTCATCAAAAGGTGTGATGGTACCCATAACCCCTAGCTTTTTCGATGGCCGACCATGACGAAAGTCTTCGGCATATCTGGCATTTTAATGCTGGATGAGATGATGTACGACTGAAACGCCTCATCAATAGGCGGCGGCGGTTTAAAGGTAACAAGACCATCAATTTGGTGTATTCATCGTAATTCGTAAATTCGCATGATGTTATGATGTATACAGATGTCACGTTATAGAGCGAGTCCATTAGACGTTTCACCTTATATGATCGCACGCCTGCTGGTTTGGCGTGGCAAGGCCTCGCCTAGGCCGCCTATCCATTCGGCACATATGTTTCATTTTGTATTCGTCTATCGCATGGTTCTATTCTTCTCATGCCCTAACTGTGCGTTGTAAGTGCATCTAGTGCCACCCCTAGTTGGTTTTGGAGTATTGACGACAAACCTAGTTGAGGGACTAATGTGTTTGTGAGAATTGCAGGATAACACAGGTAGAAGTCCCTCATTGACTCGGTTTTCCTACCAGAGATGACCCCTAAAAATGTATGAAGACATTAAAGTCAAAGGTGGTATATGAAGACATTCACATTGAAGACTATGACAAGAGAAGACATCGCATGAAGCCTATGGAGCTCGAAGACTTAGATCTTTCGTAGTTCTTTTTCTTCTTTGTTGAGTCATAGGAACCACCGTACTGTTAAGTGGGGTCCAAGAGAACCATTCAGAATGACTGAAGTGATGCTTAAACAAAACCTATGTCTTCGATTGAAGACTATGAGAGCGAATCTTGTCTAGAGTCGGACAAGTCAGCTTTGCTTGTAGCCCAAGTAAAGTTGTCGTGTGAGTTTGAAATCTGACCGTTGGAACACGTGTCAGTTCCTTAGTGACCCAGGGTCATTTCGGACAAATCAGGTCGGGTTGCCTTGTGGCTATAAATAGCCCACCCCCTACAACCACAAACGGTTGGCTGCTCAGAGTTAGTGTACGGCTTTTGTCGTTTGAGAGCAACCCACCTCGAAGCATTTGAGAGAGAATTCCTTGCGAGGATAAAGCCCTAACCACCCAGAGCCAAAGAGAATTAGCCATCACTTAAGTCTTCTTGTCTGTGTGATCTGAAGACTTATTACACTTGAGGACTGTGCATCCTCCAGCCGGTTAGGCGTCGCGTTCTGAGCATCCAAGAGACATTGTGGATCACCGGTGAACAAAGTCTGTGAAGGTTTGGGAGTCTACCTTGAAGACTTACCAGAGTGATTGGGCGAGGTCTGTGTGACCTTAGCTCAAGGGGAATACGGTGAGGACTGGATGTCCTGAGCTGCGTGTTCAGGACTGGGTGTCCAGGACTGTGTGTCCTAAGGTTTAAATACCTAGCCGCCCTAACCAGACGTACAGTTGTCACAGCAACTGGAACTGGTCCAACACATCATTGTCTTCAACAAGTCACTGGTTTCATCCTTCTCTTCTCTTTACGTACTGTTACTCCTTGTGAAGACATTGTATGATTGCACTATCTTTTATCTTCACTGAGTGACTGCGTGTTCTGTTTGGCTTCATAATTTCTTCCTACTTGATCCTTACTACATTGCTGCTCTTAGTCATTGTGCTTTCACTCTATTGAATACTTGACTATGGCTTGCCTAGTGTAGTCTACCTTCCGCTGCAGGGTAATAGGTTTATTTCGGTCGTTTGTCTTCATAACTTCCACGTTTTGAAGACTTTCATAAAAATCGCCTATTCACCCCCCCCCCTCTAGTCGATATAACGCACTTTCAATTGGTATCAGAGCAAGGTACTCCCTTGTTCTGTGTGATTCGGTTTAACCACCTGGAGTTTTAGCTATGTAGACTACAGGGATAATTAAAGTCTTCGCTGCGTGCCCCGTCTTCGATGGAACTGAATATCCCTACTGGAAGAATAAGATGCGCATGCATCTTGAAGCCATTGACGTCGACCTATGGTGTGTCGTCAAGAACGGCGTTCCCAAGGCTGGAGAAGGTGTCACTGCTGCTGACGTCAAGAAGTTCGTTCAACTGGACTCTACTGCCAAGAACATCATCTGTGGTCATCTGACCAAAGGACAGTATGGCCGCGTGAGTGCTTTGGAAACATCTAAGCTAGTCTGGGACTGGCTCTCCAAGGTCAACGAAGGCATCTCAACCCAGAGAGATCAGAGAATCAGTGTCCTTCGCAACCTCTTCAACCACTTCAAGAGAAATGACAATGAGAATGTCCAGCTCACATTTGATCGACTCACTGACATCACGAATGAGCTTCAAGCCCTTGGCGCTACTGAGATCACCA